GAGAGCTTGGAGTCATCCTTTTCTCTTCCTCTTCTCACCTCTGCTTGCTGTCACCTCCCCTCACCCACACTGAGTCCATCACCAATCCCCCTAATTCTACGTAGTCTTGTTATTGTCAGGTGCTGCCGAGTCAATCCTGACTCACGGTGACCCTATGTACAAAAGAATGAAACACTGCCCTGCCCCTTGCCATCACAGTCCTTGCTGTACTTGAGGCCATCATCACAGCCACTGAGTCAGTCCACCTTGTTAAGGGTCTTCCCCTTTTTTACTGACCCTCCCTCCACTTTATCAAGCATGATATCCTTCTCTAGGAAACGGTCCCATCTAACCACATGACTAATGTAGGTGAGCCCAAGTCGAGCCATTCTCGCTTGTAAGGAGTATTCTGGCTGCATTTCATCCAGGGGAGATTTGTCCCTTCTTCTGGTAGTCCATGGTATTTTCAGTATTCTTTGCCAACATCTTCTTTGGTCTTCCTTATTCATTGTCCAGCTTTCACATGCATATGAAGCGATTGAAAATACCATGGCTTAGGTTATGCTCACCTTAGTCTTCAAAGTGACATCTTTGCTCTTCAACACTTTGAACAGGTCTGTTGCAGCACATTTACCCAGTGCCATTTCTGATTTCTTGAATGCTGCTTCCATGAGTTTTGATTGTGGATCCAAGGAAAATGAAATCTTTGACAACTTCAGTCTTTTCTCTGTTTATCACAATGCTGCTTTTTGGTTCAGTTGTGAGGACTTCCATTTTCTTTTTGTTGAGGTGTAATCCCTATTGTAGCCTTTGATCTTCATCAGTAAGTGCTTCAAGTCATCTTAATTTCAACAAGCAAAGTTGTGTCATCACGTATTGCAGGTTGTTGATGAGTCTTCCTCCAATCCTGATGTCATGTTCTTCTTCATATAGTCCAGCTTCTTGGACTATTTGTTCAGCATATAGATTGAATAAATATGGTGAAAGGATACATGCACACCCTTCCTGATTTTAAACCATGTAGTATTCCCTTGTTCTGTTTGAATGAAACCGCCTAGTCTATGTACAGGTTCCTCATGAGCACAATGAAATGTTGTAGAATTCCCACTCTTTGTAATGTTATCCATAACTCATTATGATCCACACAGTCAAGTGGCTTTGCATAGTCAATAAAGCACAGGTAAACATCTTTATGGTATTCTTTACTTTCAGCTAAGATCCGTCTGACATCAGCAATGATATTCATTATTGCATGCCCTTTTCTTAATCCGCTTGCATTTATGGAAGTTCCCTGTCAGTATACTGCTGCAAACAGTTTTGAATTATCTTCAGCAAAATTTTACTTGCATGTGATCTTAATGACATTGTTTGATAATTTCCACATTCTGTTGGATTACCTTTCTTTGGGATTGGCATAAATATGCTCTCTTCCAGTCAGCCAGGTAGCTGTCTTTCAAATATCCTGGCATAGATGAGTAAGCACCTCCAGCACTGCATTCATTTGTTGAAACATCTCAATGGGTGTTCTGTCAATTCCTGGAGCCTCGTTTTTTTCCCCAGTTCCTTCAATGAATCTTGGATTTCTTCCTTTAATACCATTGGTTCTTGAGAATATGCCCTTTCTGAAATGATGAAACATCTACCAGTTCTTTTTGGTACAGTGACCGTGTATTCCTTCTGTCTTCATTTGATGCGTCCTGCTTCATTCATTATTTTACCCATAGAATCCCTAAATATTACAATTTTTTGTAAGTTTTGAATTTTTTCTATAGTTCTTTCAGCTTGAGAAATGCTGAGCATGTTCTTCCTTTTTGGTTTTCTAATTCCAGTTCTTTGCACATTTCATTATAATACTTTGTCTTCTCGAGCTGCCCTTTGAAATCTTCTGTTCAGCTCTTTTATTTCAATATTTTTTCCTTTCACTTTAGCTAGTCTCTATTCAAGAGCAAGTTTCAGAGTCTTTCTGACATCTGTTTTGGTCTTTTCTTCCTCTCCTGTCTTTTTAATGACTTTTTACTTTCTTCACGTTTGATGATCTTGATGTCATCCCACAACTTGTCTGGTCTTTGGTCACTGGTGTTCAATTTGCCAAATCTGTTCTTTAGCTGGTCTCTAATACTCTTGAACAGTGTACTTTTCTTCAGCCCCATACCATCGTTCTGATCCTGATATCTCTCACCTCTTATCTGAGTTATATCAGTTGCATCTTAATGAATATGCTGAACTCACTCCTGACCCCTCGATTGCATTTCCATATTTTAGCTAGGGAGATCTTTTAAAGACATAATACTGTTCATGTCATGTCACAGGCCTGCTGAAAACCTTTCAGTGTCTTGCCTTACTCTTAGGAATAAAGACCACACTAGAAGGATGTCAGAAAAAGTGGCAACTCCACGGCACATGACAACAACAACAACAACAACAAACCCGTGTGAATATGACCAGTACTCCCCAGGTTCCCTTTCACTCTCTGGCCAATATCCATGTCTTCTCTTGTAATGCACATACCCAGTGTTATGGATGAATTGTACCCCCCAAACTTGGTGTTGTAAATCCTAACCTCTGTGCCTGTGATTATAATGCCAGTTGGGAATGGATTGTCTTTGTTATGTTAATGAGGCCAGATTAGTGTAGGGTGTATTTTAAGTCAATCTCTTTTGAGACGTAAAATGGATTAAATAAGCAAGTGGAAAAGCAGAGATGGAGGAAGCCACAGGAGCAGGGCCCAGAAGCAGAGCTCAGAACAGACCGGAACCTTCCCCCAGAGCCTACAGAGAGAGAAAGTCTGTCCATAGAGCTGGTACTCTGAATTTGGACTTCTAGCTCCTAAACTCTAGAAAATAAATTTGTTTGTTAGGGATGCCCACTTGTGGTATTTCTGTTGTGGCAGCACTAGAGAACTAAGACCCCTGGCTTCTTCCCACCCCATGTGCCACTTCCTTTGCCTGGAACTCTGTTCTTGTCTTTGAGTTTGAAACTCAGGTACCCAGTCTTTACGAAGCCTATGTGACACCCTCTACCACTAGGATTTTCCATCAGCATCTTGGCATATGCTTTCCCAACTCCCTGAACGCCCCCTTTATAGCACTTACCACAGCCTTTAATTATTTATTCATGTGATTGCTCATGAATGCATTTCCCTCTCTAGACTCTAGTGACATCCAAGGACAGAGATGGCTGTTTTGCTCACCATTTCATTGAGCACTGTGATTAACATGTGGTCTGTGCTCAGTACATATTATTAGATGAAGTGAATTGTCCCAGCATGACCCTGTCTAGTCCCACAGAAGTTAACTGGGGCCAAGGCCAGGCATGTCCTGGGTATGATGCTCTGCCACTAATCTTCATAAGTCCAAATACCAGTAGTACCTTATAAAGGATAAATTGGAAAACAACATACAAAACAGGGCTACTAAAATTCTCATTCAACATCCTGCATTGTTTATTCAAATTATTTTCATGTGCCTATTTATTACAGAACAAGGGGACACTGCATGGTTTAAAATCAGGAAGGGAGTATGTCAGGGTTGTATCCTTTCACCACACTTATTCAATCTGTATGCTGAGCAAATAATCCGAGAAGCTGGTCTATATGAAGAAGAATGTGACATCAGGATTGGAGGAAGACTCACTAACAACCTGCGATATGCAGATGACACAAGTTTGCTTGCTGAAATTGAGGATGACTTGAAGCATTTACTGATGAAGACTGAAGACTAGAGTCTGCAGTATGGATTACACCTCAATATAAAGAAAACAAGAATCCTTACAACTGGACCTATAAGCCTCATCATGATAAATGGAGAAAAGATTGAAGTTGTCAAAGCCTTCGTATTACGTGGTTCTGTGTTGTTGTTATGTGCCGTCGAGTCGGCCCCGACTCATAGCGACCCCTCCTTGGGTTGCCGAGTCAGTATCATTACGGAAGTAGATTGCCCAACCTTCCTTCCAAAGAGTGGCTGGTGGGTTTGAACCGCCAGCCTTCTGGTTAGCAGTCAAGTGCCTTAGGCACTATGCTACCAGAGCTTAATACCGTATGTTAAAAATAATTCAAAGCAGGGCTTCAAACTGGTTCAAAACAGTTCAATAACTGCCATGATAAACAAGGGCTGCCATATGCATTGCATAGCAACCAAATCTGGTGCCAGTGGTATTTTGACCTGAGTAGGGAACAGACAGCTGTGCTTCACTTAAAAGATGGTATGGCACTTTGAATGTGTGTTGCTCTCTAGAGTCCTGCCAATAATCCAATCTTCCACATCAGGCTCCTGAAACTGAATGTTGGTGAGCAACAACATTCAGAATGGCATGGTTGGCCATTCATGGTTTGAGTGGGCATAGCTATTTGTTTCCTACTAGGGTCAAAATGCCACCGGCAACAGATTTGGTTGCTATGCAACACATAAGGTTTATTTTGAGCAACTATTCTATGTGCATATGGGGAGGCCATTTTGATTGCAGAAAAAGCAAATGGCTTGAAGAAGATAGGTGTAGGGCTTATAAAGAGAAGGGAGAAATATGTATGAAAGATCAACTATTGGGTAATCTTAACATGGTTAATTGAATCCTGTCTTTCCCCTTTGCTGAGTTCAACTGATAAAAATTTACTTCTGGTTTCAAAAACCAAAAGCCAAACTCACTGCCATCCAATCAATTCTGACTCATAGTGACCTCCTTTGGGTTTCCAAGGTGGTAAATCTTTATGGAAGTAGATTGCCCAGTCTTTCTTTCACGGAGTGGCTGGTAGGTTTTGAACTGCCAACCTTTTGGTTAGCAATCAAATGCCTTAGGCACTGTGTCACCAGAGCTCCTTTACTTTGGTTCTCCACTCACCTGCAGCCAAGAGACTTTTTGAGATTTAAATTAGGAGGTAATGGTTTGTTGATTATCCTTTTCTGGCAGGGTAAGAAAAATTTAGATTGCTATAGAGCAGGCTTTTGCTGGTTAATATTTGGTTTCGTGCATAAGAAAAACCTTAAAATCAAAGTAAAGTCTCTGTTACTAAATTTCCTCTTCAACAGTGGTAACAATCCATATTCCTCATTTGGAGCAACTCTGGCAAGAGATGATGACAAGAATTTGTGGAGTATGCCTCACGATGTGTCCCACACAGAGGCCGATGATGACAGAGTCCTGTACAACCTGATAGTCGTTCGTAATCAGCAGGCCAGAGATTCCGAGGTAAGCACCTTTTAAGATCTCACCGTGTACAGATGAAAATGATTGAGAAACAGATGGGACTCCTTTCGCATTAGCACCTTAATGGTACATGTCACACACAAGGCAGGCAGTGCTATTGAAAAGCATGAAGATAGTTTGACTCCTTAAATAAATGGCTTCAACAGTCCATCTCTAAGCTTTGCAATTGTTTAGCAAACTACAGTTGGGTGATTTAGACTGAAGAGTTTGAAAGGAAGATTGGGCAATCTACTTCTGTAGAGATAAAGCAGGGAGGGGTCGCTGTGAGTCGGGATTGACTCAAAGGCAGTGAGTTTGGTTTTTTGTTTTTTTTTAAGGCTGAAGGGTAAAGAGCTCTGGTAGCACAGTGCCTAAGACATTTGACTGCTAACTAGAAGATTGGTAGTACAAACCTTCCAGCCACTCTGCTGAAGAAACACTGGGCAGTCTACTTCTGTAAAGATTTACTGCCTCGGAAACCCAGTGGGGGTTGCTATGAGTCGGAATTCACTTGATGGCAGTGGGTTTGGTTTTTTCGATTTAGGCTGAAGGGTGCTTTGCATCATCACTAATTCTGAAGTAGTGGGGCTGAATCAAGACTGGGCAATCTACTTGTGTAGGGATACTGCCTCGGAAACCCAAAGAGGGGTCTCTATGACTTGGATCCAACTTGATGGCAGTGAGTTTGGGTGTTTGGTTTTGTAAAGCAAGCTTTAGGAACCTCTGGTGGTGTAGTGCCTAAGGCATCTGACTAACCAGAAGGCTGGCAATTCAAACCCACCAGCCACTCCTTGGAGGGAAGATTGGTCAATCTACTTCTGTAGATATACTGCCTCAGAAACCCAAGGAGGGGTTGCTATGAGTTGAATTGACTTGAGGGCAGTGAGTTTGGTTTAGTTTGGAAGGCAAACTTTAAGGAGCTTTGGTTAAGGCATTTGTTGCTAACCAAAAGGTCAGTGATTCAGAACCCATGAACTGCTCTGTGGAAGAAAGATGAGGCAGTCTGCTTCCATAAAGATTTACAGCCTTGGAAACCCAATAGTGATCTTGGGGTTGCTGTGAGTTGGAGTCAACTCGATGGCAATGAGTGTGGTTTGCATAGTAAAGGTAGTTTCTGTTTGTTTGTTGTTGGTTTTGCTTTTTAATGTTAACTCTTTAACATACCTAATAAGATAACATTTGGCAGCAGCATTTAGGAACTAATGAACCTAAGCTAAAATTAGCTAATAATATAGAATACAACAACACCACCAATTATTTCTGTAGGCCCTTTCATTTCAGGAGGGTGAAGCGTACGTAGTATATGTTCCCTATCTGGGTTTCTTTATTTTTGCTAATTAATTGGTAACTATTTTTTTCCCCAAAAAAATAGTTAGCAGCAGGTGTAACCTTAGAAATGCATGTTCCCAGGCCCTTTTATTTTGGTGTGATTTGGGTGGGTTTGGGAGTTATACATGGGTGGAAATGGGAGTCATGGGGTGGGGGAAGGACTGACAGTGGTCTCATGGTTCTTGAGGCCTCGTGCAAATGATTTGTGTTTCACTACTAACCTAAAGTTGACAGTTCAAACCCACCCAGTCATGCTGTGGAAGAAAGGCCTGGCAATCTGCTTTCATTTAGATTCCAAAGAAAAAACCGAACCCGTTGCTGTCAAATTGATTCCGACTCACAAACCCTTTGGAACAGTTTTACTCTGTCCCACATAAGATCGCCATGAGTCGGAATCAACACAATGGCAAGGGGCTTGGTTTGGCTTTGGTAAAGTTCAAGGAATCCTTGATGTTTCTGCATGAGACAGTTTAGAAGCTCAAGCAATATGTTAAGGAAAACCAAACATGTTTTACTTCGAGTAGCAATGGCAATAGAGAAGTAGGAATGGTCGGTCACATTTGGAACTCTCTGAATAATGAAAAATAATTTCAAAAACAGCATGCTTAACACCTGCATTTCCCTATCGAGTCTGAAGCCTGTGGAGGGAGGACTACATGTTTACTAAGGCTAAATTATCAATTTTCTCCCAAATTGGGGAAAAAAAAAAATCAGAAAAGAAGGTATGTAGGATAATAAGTAATGAAGCCAAGGGGTGAATTTATAGTAACTTGTTCAGTGTCAGAAGATGTAAAAAGTAGCTTTTAAATATAATAGGCTGAATCCGCTTCCATTCACCTAAGTCTTCAAGAGCTGATGGGAAACTGATTCTTAGCTGAAGAAATGATGCATTTGTAGGCCTTCAAGTAGGGGAAATATTGCCCTCGTCTTTGAATTATGCCATAAAATACTTCAATTAAGAAATAGTAAACAGCCTCAAAATTATGTCACTAGATCATTATCCTTATATTCATTTCTGTTAAACTGGTTGTACCTCACATAACATGCACTGTTCTAGGAAATTTAATAATTATTAGTGAAATATCAGTGCATTTTATTTATTAACTTACCTAAATAATTATAATCATCTATGTGATTATATAGATCTAGACAGTCTTGTCTTCTAAGACACTAATAATAATGGAAACAGTGACAGGCACTGTTCTAACCACTTCACATGTATTAACCATTTTCTCCTAACCACAACTGTGTGAAGTAGGTACCATTATCATTTCCATGTCAAACAACTTGGCTGAGGTCATACAGCAGTAAGTGTGGAGTCAGGATTTGAAGCCAGGCTTTGTGAATCTAGAGACACCATATGCAATGAGTACCAGTTGCCATGGAGTCAGTTATGACTCATGGTGACCCCCTGTGTTTGAGGGTAGAACTGTGATCCACAGGGTTTTCGGGGGCTATGATCTTTGGGAAGTAGGTCACCAAGGCTTTCTTCGGAGGCACCATCTGGTTTCTTAAATTGTACCAATTTATTGATCAGACAGTAGTGTATCTGCCATAATTGAGGCACCATTTGGGTAGATTCAAACCATGAACCTTTCAGTTAGTAGCTGAGCATATAACCGATTTGTGCTACCTAGGTACAATGATTGAAATCTTGAGGGAGGACCAGATATTATCTGTGATTCAAGATATAATTCAAAATGCATGCATAAGCAGAGTCTGCCCAAAGCCTTTCCTGTGACTTGATACCAATGAGTATGAAAGGCATTTCATGGCAATGGAACGACTGCTATGTTTGGTATGAGGATCTTGACCACGTTTCCCAAAGCATTCCTCGTGCCACCACGTTTCCCAAATTACGCCTTTGCACAGTGATTGTAATTGGCTAAGATTCCTGCTCTGGGCTTTTGTTCTCTTAGATCCAAGATGCGTCATTCTGTTCCTTCTCATCCTTCTTCCCCTTGCTCAGTGCTCTCTGACCCGTGTTACTTGGTGTCTCTTTTGATGTTTCTGTAGCCATTCCTCTGTGGTTTCATACATGGCATTAGCCGTCTTCTCCCTCCTAAAAGCTTCCAAACTTTTGAGTAAGTAAATAAATGCTAAAAATAAAATCCTTCTCCAGAGCTCTTTTTGTTTATTGTGGTAAAATATATACATAACAAAACATTTGCCTTTCTAACATTTCTTACATGTCCAATTCAATGACATCAATGATTTTCATCATGTTGTGAACCACGAGTGTAAGATAATGGTGGGGGAACAATGGGGAAAGGGTAGTGAGAGTGGTTACGCAGCTTGAAGAATGTAGTCAGTGTCACTGAATTGAATGTGTAGAAATGGTTGAAATGGTGTGTTTTGGGCTGTGTATACTTTCTCCAAAAACAACCAACCAAGCAAACAAAGCTAGCAAACAAACAAGCACTTGTAAGCACTGTTTTGGTTCAAAAATAGATGATGTTTATTTGGCATAATCTGTGATAGAAATTCTATGCTTAATTTTGAAACTATTGAGTAATGGCATGCTCAAAGATGTGTATGGTTTTGGAAAAATGGACACAACCTAAATGTCCATCAACAGATGAATGGTTAAACAAACTGGTACATACACACAACAGAATACTACACAACGTTAAAGGACAGTGATGAATCTTTGAAACATCTCATTACATAGATGCCCCTGAAGGACATTATGCTGAGTGAAATTAGTTAATCACAAAAGGACAAATATTGTATGAGACAACTGTTGTAAAAAGTTAAGAGAAGGCTTTCATATAAAAAGAAATATCCTTTGATGGTCACCAGGGGTAGGAGGGGAAGGGAGAGCAAACACACACAAAAAGAGAAATTAAAGAATTTGCTAGGGTCACACAGCTAGTGAAAAAAATGTATATGGTTCCCATAACCAGTGCCTCCTACCTGTCACAGACTGAGAGAGCATTTATACATTTGCAGGCTTCTATACAACAGCTCTGGTAGCATAGTGGCTAAGACACTTACCTGCTAACCAGATGGCTGGTGGTTCAAACCC